CATTTGTTTGTGCCTTATAGAGAAGCATCTGCAGGTCGCCCGTTATCCACCCAGCGCTTGTCACACTGGCTGTGTGAGGTCATTTCTGAAGCCTACAGAGCATCAGATTTAGAGCCTCCTGTCAACCTCAGAGCACACTCGACCAGGGGTATCGCATCTTCAACTGCCTTGCATAATGGTATGACAATGCAGGACATTTTGCACTGCGGCCGCGTGGTCAACACCCTGCTCATTCATTCGCCTTTATCTATGTGATGTGACGGCTCGTTCCATGACACATTCTGTCTTTAGTGTTTACAGAATGAATATTGTTGTTTCATGGAACTCCGTTTAACTCACATCTGTCTGCATGCATTACAGTGTGAGATGTTATCAATCACAAATTGTGATTGTTATTTTGGTTCTATTGTCACTAATCAGTTCACGACTATTGTTACCAATCAGTTAATTTGATTAATAATCAGCTCTCTTGTTATTATTAATCTGTTCATACTGTTCAGCCGTAAACCGGTTGGTTCATGGCTCTTTTCAGCATTTTTCTCTCCCCATTGAAGTTTCGGGGGCGTTCCATGCATTCAGAACGCATAGTTATACAACATGCGTCTGTGCATGGCACACATAATTACGCAATGCGTAATTACGCACATGGGGAGCTGAGTGACAAGACTTTTTTTGGGCACGCTTCTGCTTCATACGGTGTTCGAATGGACCCAGTGAGGCGAGGACAACATCCGCTTCGCCCTTAACCCATCAGCAACAGCCTTAAAGGGCGAAGCCTATACGAAATAGAACGTTGGTTACGTACTGTAACCCCAGATTCTCAGTATAGGCTGTTTTGCTTTCCCGAGTGAGGTAGGCACAGGACACGTGCCACGCCCTCACCGCAGCAGCCTCTCCTCCAACGGGTCTCAAAACTAATCCTATAGCTCAGGTATTACCCGCAGCCGTTTCCTAGGACAGTTTTAGTTTTAAGGCTGTGTTGAGATGATTCACCCAGACTGTTAAGTACCTCCGATCCTTGCACCACACCCAAAGTTTCAACTTGTGCCTCGCCCGACCTAGCAGCAGGAGTGGGGACGTTTAGCAGACGAGGGAGCGCAAGTTAACGGTAGCTCATCTCCTGATTTAGCGTTGCAATTGTTAATCGATCTGGCGTTATTTAGAGCCTAGGCACAAGGCTCATGGATGTTGTTTTTTAATCAAAAGCTAATAAAACAGTTTAAAACCTCCCATGTTTCTGTTGTTTCATTGAACCAAGTTTTCCACTTCCAAGAACAAAAGGGTGTTTGAAATAAGAATCCAGAATTTTACATTTTGCTTTGCTTTAATCAATAACTTTTGCAGGGGAACAGCGGTATAGCACAATAATGAGTACACTGGATTACAAAGAGATTACATGATGAATAATTTTCATTCCTTAGTCCCTTTTTTAGTTGTTGACCTTTTCTGGGCAAGGTAGATCTCAGTCCCTGTGGATGGGCTTGAGACAGGCTCTTGGACTCCTCTCTGCTCAGCCACAGACGTCCTTTAGTCCGGCCGGCCACACCCTGTCTCACTTAGGAACACAAGTACCCACACAGTTTACCTACTCTCTCTACCAGACCCAACACATTATTCCTCACCACAAGGAAAACCCTTCTACAACTCTGAGCAACCAGGTTTAAAACATAATAGATTTTTCTGCTTGTCAATTCATACACCACTGCTATAATTTGGGATAAGGTTTCATTAAGGACTAATTTTGAGGAACGTCCTCTTACCATGTTTTCTGAATTCAGTAAGAGGCAAATTTCCCCATCTCTTTCTCGGATGTGGGCCGTTCCTGGTCCTCGATCTGGTTGAATTTGAAGAAAAAAAGGGTTTAGGGATAATCCGGGCTGATGGGTTGAAGAATAGTTAAAAAAAAAAAAACTTATTCCAACGGATTTCACCCTAGTTCTCCTCCAGCAGAGACCGTCCAAAATTGCCCTATTAGTCCACAATTCGTCCAGAGGTTCTTCTGGTCTTGTCCTGAGTTCCCTCGCTTGTGAAGTGGATCCCCAAAACAGCAGAGTTTTCTCTGAAACTTTTGTTTATATAGCCTGAGATTTTGACTGACATCTCCAGACCAGTCACCCCATCAGGCTAATCCATCCCTTTTGGGCTGACCTTGGTCCGACTCTACAGGCTTCTTATGAGATTTTGCCAGTCACTCCTAATGCATATTAAAATCTGGGTGTATTTTGTTCAATAATGCACAGTCACCCTTGAGTTGTCCTATTCTGATTTGCTCAGAGCTGTGTTCTGGGACTTTCCCCTTGTGTAACACCCTTACTTGTATCTTCTAGAACATTCGTGAAGCTACCGGTTCTTTTCTTTCAACAACATGACTAAGCTTAAAAACAGATTACATTGTAAAATCATAAAGATTACATTTTAAAATCACAAAGTTTATAATATCACTTGATCATCTACTTGTTTATTGATTTATTATAAACACATCTTTCTCGTTCATCTGAAACTGGTAATTTTTTATTAAAAAGAAACATGTTCTGCTTCTGCTGTTCTCTCCCTGCATGTGTGTGCCTCTCAAACGGGCCTGTGTGTGTGTGCGTCTTAGTGAACATGTGTGTGTGTGTGTGTGGGTCTTAGTGAGCCTGTGTAGTTGTGTGTCATATACATTCGTGCTTATGGCGTGTGTGAGTGTTCGTGTGGCTCTACACATGGTTTTGATTATTCAAGGCTTTGAGGCCTACAAACAGGGCATGAAACTAGCAGAATAACATGTCTTGACTTGCCCGTTCCCTATAAGAGCAGGCTGAACATCTTTGACAAGGCGTAGCCCTTTAAGCGTCGGGCCTCATTGGCTCCTAAATGGCTGAAGAAAAAGCTATTTTGGGAGCCGATTTCCCGCTCTTAACGTAATTTATACGGACCAGGTGGGGGCCACACAGCAGGTGGGCGTGGACTAAATTTTTCAGTGCAATGTTTCGCATATCGGGATAAACCCATCAGCGACAGCCTTAAAGGGCTATGCCTATATTCATAGAATCTGGGGTTATAGTACGTAACCAACGTTTCGTTCTGATCACAAATTATTTCGGATTGCGCTGAGTAAACAAAAAATAACCTGAATGGGATGTTTACATGACACATTTTTATTCCGAACGGCCATTTCATTCGATTACTTATGTCCATGTAAACATAGCTAGTGACACTAGGAGTTAGAGGTGTCCACAGTGATACTAAAACACAGAGGTGTAAGTGTCTACAACTATACTGGACGTCAAAGTTTTAAAGAACCTAGAAGTATGTTAGGTGTCAAATGTGTAAAGAGTCCACAGTGATCGTAGAAGTCAGAGGTGTAAAGTGTCTAGAAACAATGGAAATCAGTGTCAAGTAGTGGAGTGTTTGTTAGATGGACCCAAGATGCAGACTTGCATATTGTATCACATATCGGTCACAGGTCTACATACTAAAAAATGAGACCAACAACCATTCATCCCCACACCTAGATACAATTTAGAGTTACCAATCAGCCTAACATGCATGTTTTTGGACTGTGGGAGGAAACCGTAGTACCCAGAGAAAATCCACGTGACACGAAGAGAACATGCAAACTCCACCCAGAAAGTATACTGATGCATCCTCAATAATCCAGATAGAAAAATCTAAAAAAGTTAAGTTAACTTTTTTTGATCCACCCAGAAAGGCCTCCGGCCAGGATTCGATCCGGCAACCTTCTCGCTGAGAGACAACAGCTCTACCAACTGAGCCACTTCAGGTGTCTGGTTTATAAAGTTATTCTATTCTAAACTTTAAAAGAACTGCTCATGTTTTTATCTGACCTTAGTTGTATCAGCAGACACAGGTCAACTTCTAAACAAAGTGCTGTATCATAAAAATATTGTTACAGATGATTAAGGTGTTTCCTCTCCAACTCCACTAACATGTGGAGTGCCTCAAGTGTCTGTTCTTGTATCACACTCTTTTATAGTGTGAATGTTGGGACAGCTTTTACAAAAGTAATTATTAATTATTTCTAATATTTATCTTTGCAAATATTTCCCAATGGAAAGACATCAAGGTCTCTTTCATTTACAACATATTATTTGACTAATTTTAGCTTTATCTACTTTTCTGCTAGTTTGGACAACTGTGAACATGCTAGTGTTCCTAAACCTATGCAGATAACTTTATCATCAAAACATTTTGTTCTTCTTTCAGCCTGTTCTGTTATTGCTGCATGACTTTTGGTTTACCCTCAAGTGACCCCAGATTGAGTGTGACCACTTGAGCTGCTAATTTTACCCACTGTAAATTTTTTCTACCTTTTTCCTTCCAACTGGGTGGTGAAGAGTAATTTTTATGTGGCATATATCTGACCTAATGCATGTGAAATTCATGTGAAATTTTCTTTGAATGAGAACCACTCTCTAGCTGAGAGACAATAGCTCTACGAACTGTGCCTCATCAAGTAAATGTGACCTTTTTTCACAATAAAACTGTCATAGTGGTATTGGGACATCACTAGTCCCCGCCATGTGATTCAAGTAGAACAGTCAGTGTTACTGACTGGAGTGTTCGGTGTCAGTGTTTAGTAGCAGTGAAGGGCTGTGGTAGCTCAGTGGCTAAGTGCTTTAGCCTTTTGATTCTGGGGCTACTGGTTCAAGCCCAGGTTGTGTCAGGAAGAGCATCCAGCTTGAAAATAATTGTCAAATCTTTCATGTGAGTTTACTTGCTGTGGTGACCCCTAAAGAATGGAGCAGCTGAGAGAAAATTTCTACTCTAGTCAGTGGTACTGAAACAGTCTCTCAGAGAGCCTACTCTGCTTCAGCTGACTATTTCCTGAATGACCCGGTGCTTGTGATGTCCCTGGATTAATGGCTTGTACTGTAGTTGAAGTAGGAATTCTGCTGTTAAATTATGTGAATTCTAAGGTAAAAAATCAGATACCTTTCTCTCAGATCAGCATCAAAAAGTCAGACTTGTATGTGAAAGATACTGCTTTACCTCCTCAGATGAGCTGTACCTCCCACCTATGAGAAAAATTGACAGCTTGCTGAGCGAACAGAAGAAAGGGCTGTTGAGGAGAGTCAGCATCAGTACTCAGCACCAGGTACATCCATAGGTGCATGCTTCTATTGTATATGGACAAGTAGCTGGAACGGTTAAACTGATGAAGATGTTTCTGTTTTTATTTTTTGTTGGACTCTGTTCTTTAACTGTCCAGGAGGCTTTACATTTGTTCTCCAAAATGACAGCAGACCCTCTGGACTCAGGAGTGGTCAGGGTTCATCTTGGTGGCGAGGGTTACAACCGCAAAACCCTCAATCGAGTCAAAAGGAGCATTTCTAAGCAGCAGGTGAGAAGATGCTTCAACGTTAGATACAGGTGTTCATCTTCTCAGATAATTTATTCTCCACCTTAAAATAAATAAATGTGTATGCCTCTTTTATGACTGTCTATTGTTGTTGTTATTATTCACTGCTGTCATCACGCTTTAAGAAATCAGGTCCCTCTTGTAAATGAGTTCCCGAGGCTCAATGGGATTAACCTGTATAAATAAAGGTTGAATGAAAAATCTCCACCTTTTTATCTCATTAACCACTGGACAAATTTTAATGCAACTCTCAGAAAGTAATTATTGAATATGTATCTAGAACCATTGTGCTTTTAGAGTCAACCCAATTCAAAATGCCTGCCACAGCTAAACAAACTTAAATACAAAAATGACTACAATTTTCCACACTGGACATGGTCTGTTTGAGATATTACCATCAGGAAGAACATGCAGATTAATTAAAACTAGGACAAACATATTTAATCCCTGGAAGTCCCTTAAAAGATAACCTCACAGTAAATCATTGGCACCAGTAGCATAATGTGTGTTTGTGTGGAGGGGGAACACTGGTGTGTGTGTGCATGCGTGCGTGCGTGCGTGCGTGTGTGTGTGTGTGTGTGGTGGGGGAGTCCTAAGCACAACACAAACACATTAGCTAAGATGCTACAGACGTAGCGCTCTGCGTCTTTCACAAATCCTAACCCCCCACCCCCATCACTGCACGATCTGCTCCTGAAGCACGATCCGTACCGTCAGCTCATTTGTACATGCACTAAAAAAAATACTTCTGGGAGGGCTTTAGACGTTGCAGATCACAAAATAGATGGATTTTCAATCTTTCTACTTTCGTCACCTGCAATTTTTCCTGGAAAAGAAAACTTTTGCAGGAGATGTGGATAGCAAAGTATGCCAGGAGGATAGGTTTCTACAGTAAATCTCATAAAAGATGACTTTTATTCAAATAAATGTCTTCTGTTCTCAGTAATGGGTCCACCAGAGGGCACATTGACAGCATAAATATGTTACAGTCCAATCAATCAACCAATACACATTTTTCTACTGAACTATAATTTTGAAAGTAATTGAGGACAGTTCTTATTCATAAACAGAATTATAGCATTGTCTAATAAAATGCATAGAAAGATGTATGGATATATAGAAAGATATATTTTAATTAATATTAATAAATATGGTATGTTTCATAAATATATTTTATTAATATCAAAAAATATGTAATATACACTGCCTGGCCAAAAAAAACTCACCACCTGGATTTAACTAAGCAAATAGGTACGAGTCTCCTATTGGATAATTACTGCATTGGTGATTATCTTTCAGATGCAACAAGTTATTTAACCCCAACTGGTGCAATGAGTCAGCTTCTGTAGCCGAGGATCAGACCGGACACGTCCCACCAGAAGGAGGCCCAGAGGAAGACCCAGGACACGCTGGAGGGACTATATTTCTCGGCTCGCCTGGGAACGCCTCAGGATTCCCCCGGAAGAGCTGGCCCAAGTGGCTGGGGAGAGGGAAGTCTGGGCCTCCCTACTTAGGCTGCTACCCCCGCGACCCGACCCCGGATAAGTGGAAGAAAATGGATGGATGGATGGATGGATGGTGCAATGAGTTGCTTCTCATTTCTTAAACAACCATGTTGATAGATGCATCACGTGGTTGTGGAAAAGATGTCATTCTGTTTGAGTTGGGTCAAATCATTGGCATGCATCAAGTAGAGAAAACATCTAAGGAGATTGCAGAAACTCTTAAAATTGGGTTAAGAACTGTCCAACGCATTATTAAAAACTGGAAGGATAGTGGGGATCCATCGTCTTCGAGGAAGGAATGTGGCTGGAAAAAAAAACCCTGAATGATCGTGATCGGTGATCACTTAAACATGTGGTAAAATCAAATCGAAGAAAAACAACAGTAGCACTCAGAGCTATGTTTAATAATGAAAGTAAGAGCATTTCCACATGCACAATGTGAAGGGAACTCAAGGGATTGGGACTGAACAGCTGTGTAGCCTTAAGAAAATCACTAATCAGTGAGGCTAACTGGGAAAAAAAGGCTTCAATTTGCTAGGGAGCATAAAGATTGGACTCTGGAGCAATGGAAGAAGGTCATGTGGTCTGATGAGTCCAGATTTACCCTGTCCCAGAGTGATGGGTGCATCAGGGTAAGAAGAGAGGCAGGTGAAGTGATGCATCCATCATGCCTAGTGCCTACTGTGCAAGCCTGTGAGAGCAGTCTATGATGCGGGGTTGCTGCAGTTGGTCAGGTCTAGGTTCAGCAACAGTATGTGCTCAAAGAATGAGGTCAGCTGACTACTTGAATATACTGAAGGACCATTGTTGTTCCATCAATGGATTTTTTTCTTCCCTGATGGCACGGGCATATTCCAAGATGACAATGCCAGGATTCATCGGGCTCGAATTGTGAAAGAGTGGTTCTGGGAGCATCAGACATCATTTTCACACATGGATTGGCCACCACAGAGTCCAGACCATAACCCCATTGAGAATCTTTGGGGTGTGTTGGAGAAGGCTTTGCACAGTGGTCACAGTCTGCCATCATCAATACAAGATCTAGGTGAAAAATTAATGTAACACTGGATGGAAATAGATCTTGTGACATTGCAGAAAATTTATCGAAACAATGCCACAGTGAATGCATGTCGTAATCAAAGCCAAAGGCAATCCAACGAAATGTTAGTGTGTTACCTTTTTTTTTTTGGTGGAGACTTTTTTGTGCCAGGCAGTGTATGTGTTGTATTAAATCAAGTTCCAGGATAGAATTTAGCATACCTTTATAATTAAGGCTGGAAGTAATTATTTCCAGTACATTTTCCTAAATTTAGCATATTCAAAAGCATTTATTTTAGCGCATGCACAAATGAGCTGACAGAATCAGAATCAGTTTATTATTGCCATGTCAATGAACGAGGTTCACAAACTAGGAATTTGCTTCGACATAAGGTGCGAATAGTAATAAAGTAAAATAAAGTAAAAATAAAGTAAAAATTAAGTAAAAATGAGAACATTACATAAGACATAAGACCTGTGTACACCCACAAATAAAGTAAAATTATAAACACAACATAACCATATGTACACCTATACAATAGAAAACAATAAAAAAGCTTAGAAAACAGTACAGATGGAGTATTCAATTTTAATACAGATGTAATGTGACCAAAGCAGAAATTATGAGGTAGCATTATGAGTGTTCAGGAGTCCAACAGCAGAGGGGAAGAAACTGTTCTTATGGCGGGTCCGAATGGACCGAAGCCTCCTGCCTGAGGGGAGTGGTTCAAACAGTCTGTGTGCAGGGTGAGCAGGGTCAACTGTGATCCGATCTGCTTGCCTCACAGTCCTGGAGACGTACAGGGCGTGGAGGGATGGAAGGCTGCAGCTGAGCGCACAATGCGCTGCAGTCTGAGTCTGTCCCTGGCAGTGGCCCCGGCGTACCACACCGTGATGGAGGAGCTGAGGATGGACTCGATGATGGCCGTGTAGAACTGCACCATCAGCTTGGCCCGCAGCTTGGCCTTCTTCAGCTGTCGCAGGAAGTACAGTCTCTGCTGGGCCTTCTTGATGAGGGAGCTGATGGTTGGCTCCCACTTGAGGTCCTGGGTGATGGTGGTGCAGAGGAACCGATAAGAGTTTGCAGTGGTGATGGGGGTATCATTACAGGTGAGGGGGGGCAGAGGGGCTGTGGCTTTCCTGAAATCCACAATCATCTCCACCGTCTTCTGGGCATTGAGTTCCAGGTTGTTGCTACTGCACCAGGTCACCAGCCGGTCCACCTCCCTCCTGTATGCAGACTCATCACCATCCGAGATGAGCCCGATTAGGGTGGTGTCATCTGCAAACTTAATAGGTTTCACAGTCATGGCTGGAGGTGCAGCAGTTGGTGTACAGGGAGAAAAGCAGGGGGGAAAGCACACAGCCCTGTGGAGATCCTGTGCTTACAGTCCAAGTGTCCGAGACAGCTCTCCCCAGCCGCACGCACTGACTCCGGTCTGTCAGGAAGTCTGTGATCCACCTGCAGGTGGAGTCAGGTACATGGAGCAGGGAGAGCTTGTCTTGGAGCAGAGCAGGGAGGATGGTGTTAAATGCAGAGCTGAAGTCCACGAACAGGATCCTGGCGTAGGTTCCTGGGGAGTCCAGGTGCTGCAGGATGAAGTGAAGAGCCAGGTTTATTGCGTCATCTACAGACCTGTTGGCCCTGTAGGCAAACTGCAGGGGTTCCAGGAGGGGGTTGGTGATGGACTTGAGGTGAGATGAAACCAAGCGTTCAAAGGTTTTCATGACTACAGACGTGAGAGCTACAGGTCTGTAGTCATTTGGTCCTGTGACACGTGGCTTCTTGGGGACAGGGACGATGATGGAGGACTTGAAACAGGCTGGGACGTGGCATGGCTCCAGAGAAGAGTTGAAGATCCCTGTGAAGAATGGAGCCAACTCTCCAGCACAATGTCTCAGCGTGGAGGGTGACACAAGGTCTGGGCCTGCAGCCTTATGTGTATTCAGCCTTTTAAAAAGCCTCCTTACTTCATCCTCTTGTACAGAGATAGCAGGGGGTTGTCGGGGGCAGTCCCAAGTGGTTAAACCAGTTGGGCTGGGGTTGGTGTGGAGGATGGAGGAATGTGAGTCGATGACTTCAAAGCGTGAATAGAAGTCGTTCAGATCATTTGCCAGTTTGAGATTGTCTCTAGAATGAGGTGCTCTGGGCTTGTAGTTAGTTATTTCTTTCAGCCCCCTCCAGACAGAGGCAGAGTCGTTTGCAGAGAACTGTTGTTCCAGCCGTGCATTGTACCTGGATTTAGCCTTCGACACCTCCCTGCTAAATCCATACTTCGCACGTCTGTAGTTGTCTCTGTCCCCCTCTCTGAAAGCAGCCTCCTTCTGCTGACGAAGCTGTCTTAGTTTGGATGATAAACCAGGGTTTATCATTATTGAAAATGACTCTGGAGCGTGATGGGATGATGCTGTCCTCACAGAAATGTATATATGACGTCACAGTGTTTGTGTATTCGTCTAGACTGTCTGTAGAAGCCCTGAACAGGTCCCAGTCTGTGGTGTCCAAACACGTGCGTAGCTCCTCCACAGTTTCACTGGTCCACTTTTTGGATGTCCTCACCACAGGTTTTGAGAGCTTCAGTCTCTGTCTGTATGCAGGTATGAGGTGAATCATCTCATGATCTGAGAGACCCAGGGCAGCACGAGGCACAGCACGATAAGCACCGCTCACTGTGGTGTAACAGTGATCCAGCGTGTTTCCTTCTCTTGTCGGGCATTTAATAAACTGTTTATATTTAGGTAGTTCATGCCTGAGGTTTGCTTTGTTAAAATCTCCAAGGATGATAACAAGGAAGTCCGGAAAAGTTCGCTCTACACTCGTGATCTGGTCCGCGAGCGCGCGCTCAGCCTCGTGCACGTCCGCGCACGGTGGGATGTAAACAGCGGCCAGAATAAATGAAGTAAACTCACGTGGAGAGTAGAACGGTTTGCAGTTTATGAAGAGATATTCCAGAGAAGGAGAGCAGTGCTGGGAGATCACTGTCACGTCGGAGCACCAGGCGTTGTTGATAAAGAAAGAGACTCCTCCGCCTTTCTTCTTTCCTCCGGAAAGTTCCCACTGTCTGTCAGCGCGGAGGAGCTGGAAACCCTGGAGATGGAGTGCGGAGTCCGGGGTCTGCTCGTTGAGCCATGTCTCCGTGAAGCACAGCACACAGGAGGAGGAAAAATCGCTGTTCCTTCTCATCAGCAGCGCTATCTCGTCCATTTTATTGTAGAGGGAACGGACGTTGGAGAGAAATATCCCAGGTAAAGGCGTGCGTGTACCGCGCCTCCGGAGACGCACGAGCGCTCCAGCTCTTCTGCCCCTCCTGCGAAGTCTCACTCTTTTGGCCAAAAAGTGCACAAGTTCTGCAGCAGGCACTAAAAAAACTGGAGTAATGTCCTCATGGGTTGTAATTCTGATGTTTAGTAGCTCCTCACGAGTGTAGGAGCATGCAGACACATGATTAAAGCACAAAAACAGAAAAAACAGAGCGCACCAGAATGCCAGGGCGACCGTACATGGCGCCATCTTGGATCAATTTTTGACAGTACAGATTGTGCAGTGACGCCTCCCATCAACAACTGCCAGTACTAATGTGGCACAAAGCTAGCGCACAAAACGGGTGGCTCCCCCTCATCCCCCTGTGAGTTATTTGCCAACGCAAGGAGAAACACTACATGCGCTGTGGAGAGTTGTTGGAGGTAACCAGGAAAACACGGAATGGACTTTTAGTGGTTTGAGTGGAATGGATTCTTTCACAAATAAATAGAAACAGTGCTGGATCAACTAATATTTCATGGTAAATGTGTGTGGGGGGGTTCTGAATGAATATTTTTTAAATGTGGGGTATACACGTCCCCTTCACGTATAATTGTTGCGATGCCTATGCATTAACTTAACTACACTCGTGTTCCTGCGTGGGAAAATCAGCCACATTAAAATACAATGTACAGTAAATAAAACGTTTAATCCTATATTTATCATATCATAAAATATTGCATTTCCCTCAGTAAGGTTTTTTTTTGCTTTACCTCTGTCCCTATACTTTCAATTTTCATATTATCCTACTAGGTGGTGTGAAGTGTATGTGTTTAAAAACAAATTTATATATATATATTTGCAGCTGCAGGATCTGAAGGGTCCGGTGGCCTGGAGTATTATCGCAAAACTCCACACTGGAATTTTATAAAAGTTGTCAAAAACTCATTTTGAGTGTAGTAATGGGGGGAAATGTCTTTTTATTTATTTTGTATTTTTTTCCCAGAAATTGCCTTAAATATTTTGTTAATTTAAAAAAAAAGAAATGTGGAGGGTTTTTTTTGTTTGTTTGTTTGTTTGTTTGTTTTTTTCAAACAAATGACTCAGAGAGTTACCGGAAAATAAAAAAGGCAGTTAAATTTGATGTATTTATTCCGTGCTGAAGTAGTTCTATAAGTGACTAGTCTTTTGTGGAAAAAAAATATTTTTCAGCAGTTAAATAAGGTGGTGACCGTTCCTTTAAGGAGCATTAACTGTCATGAAGTTAAAGGGACTTCCAGGGGTTAACAAATGAATGATCAAAACTGGGTGAATTAATTCTGCTCACATAAAGTTGTAGCATTTCAAGAGTAAATCTGTTTCCTGATACTTCAGGCTCAGTTTTAGGTAAAGTTAGACGGAAACCATTCTTTATGACTTTAGGTTAAGAGGTTTTGGAACTTGGGGTATTATTTAGTCATGAATAAAACTAAAAGTAAGTCATGAGAAAAGTTTTAAAAAAAAGCAAAAACGGAAAAATACTGGTGAAACTCAACTTTTTAAAACTTTTTTTTCAGGATATGAAGATTTCGATTGAAACCTGTCGAATCTACAGTCTTTATCATTCTCTTCACCACTACAAGTATCACACCTTCATACACTGCAAGAATGAGGTAGGACAACATCTGTTGGAACAAATACAGCTGTGGTCAGAAGTTTAAAACCCCAAAATCATGTGGATATACATTTCTTATTTTTTTGGTGTCTTCCGAACATCCAATCTTTGATTTTTATTTTTGACATGTCTGGAGAAGCTGGCTCTCCTGTGTTGAGCCATGTGTCAGTGGATCTACCGTTTAGTTTCTCCTTTATGGAGTTCTGAACATCGTTGTTTCACTAAACTACATACAGCGCACAGCTCAGGTTGTGTTTGGAGGTTTTATCATGGACCAGTCTTCATCTGAGGACTTTCATGGCTCACCACAGGAGAGCCAGCACTTCAGAACAAGACTCAGATCCAGAGTCCTTATTTTTACAGGAGATTAATTTAACTGTTTTGTGAGCATGTGTGTGTGTGGATAATAAAAATCCAAGATTTTAATCAAAATTATATTTACCAGCTGAACATTTGGACTGCAAACAATTTACATTTAATGTTTTGTAAAACACTTTGGCATTTTCCGTTTGTGGATGTTGGGTGCTGAAGAATCTTAGTTGTTAAAGCTAAAATAAGCAGAACATGGGCTAAAACAGAAAGCTGCTAGCTAAAAAGTACCAAAACTCTTGGTAAAAGTAGCAAAATGCTATCTAAATGCTAAAAGTGAAATAATGGTAACTAAAAGTATTAAAATGCTAGCTTAAAGCTCAAATATTTAAAAGTTAGTTAGAAGCTAAAAGTAGCAAAAGGCTGGCTAAAAATAAAAAAAAATGTAAAAAAAAAAATCAAAAAGCAAGATAAATGTATGTAAAAAGACAAACACTGCCAGTTCCTTAATTCAGATCTCAATTAAAACAATGCTTAGAAAAAATGATAGAGATCTTTCTACGGTGACAATCTTTGGAAAAATAAAAACATTAACAAATAAAAACATTAAATAATGTTTTTATTTTAGATATAGAAATGGCTTAAATAGCACAAAATATGTAGAAGCAGTTAGATTGCAAGAATGCACAAAAATATCAAACAGAAAAATAAACGTGCTCAAATCGTGCAAACACCAGTTCTTGTTCTTGCTCGTTTCCACCCTCATGCTGCTCTTGGGTCAAAACGATCCACAAGACCTTAACTTTCAAATAAAGCCCAGCCGGACATTTCGACTTAAGGACAGCAAGAATGTTTAGATGAAATATAAGCAAATCTTACACCATTAAACCTCCTCACATAAAGCCATATCACAGTCTCAACCTAACTTTATTGTTCTCCTGAGCAGACGGATAACATCAAGCAGGCAGCTGAGGACCCCGGTCAGGAGGAGGTGGTGCAGCAGTGTATGGCCAACCAGGGCTGGCTGGAAAGCCTTTTTAACTCCTTCGTGGAACTGCTCAGCCATAGTGCCAAGACCTGACAGAGGACAGAGCACAGCCTAAGTCTCTGAGCTCATTCACCCTCAGTATTAAGTGGCCGGAGGCATCCAGTACTTGTGAAAACAAATCTGTATGGCTGCAACAAGTGCAATGATTCCAATGAGAACAACCATCATCCATTGGTTAATGGGAGATTTAACTTTTAAAATGTTTGTTTTCTTGTTGAGTCTATCCCAAAGAACTTCTTGATTTCAAGAACTGCACTGAAAGGTGTAAGATGGAAATAATCTGAATGTGAAAGGTTTACGCCCCACTCCCATAAAAAAAATAATTAAAAAACAGCTAAATCTTTTTGTCAATGCTGCAGAGATTTATGTCATAACATTCAGACACAAACTGTCTATAAGGATGTATTACTGACCATTGTTTGTATAATTTCTACAAGGAAATTTTTTAAATGACCACCCTATGATGGGTTTGTTTGTTGTTATTTTTTGAAAAGTATTTAAAGATGGTGTTCATAAAATGGCCCATTTGCTTCTGTTCAACCAACAGAGGTAAAGCTGGGGACGTGTGACATAATAGTGAGGAACAAAGGGACTATGTGATAGTTTCTACCTGCCTCAGTCAAATCAAAGAAGTTAGGATTGAGGGGAAATGTATTTAAATCATCTTCTTTTTGTATGTTCAAAAGAGGATAGAATGAGGCTTTAATGCCTTGAGTGATAAGGAATGAAAAAATATAAATAAATAAAAGCACAACTTTCTTAAAGAAAGTGTGAGGTGAAAAGATCCATAAACCTAAATGTTTGTGTTTGTCATTTTTATCTGTTTGTTGATGATATTTCTGATCATTTGACTTCTTTGAGGTTTTGCAGAGCAATTTTCTTGTTTTGGCATGTAAATATTGTACAGTTGCTCTATTCTCTAGTTCGGAGTTGCTCTTCTGTACATGAAATTCCTGTGTTTGACAAAAATGAAATAAAACTGATAAACAACAAAATGTGATGATACAAAAAAACAGCCTTGTCCTCAATTTTTTTTAACTAATAGAAGATGAGTGTGAGAATGCTTGTTGGGTTTACAGCAGGTTTTGTACCAAGTACTAAACAAGACGTTAAGTTGACCAAGGATCTTTCCGTACAGTTAAGAGACAATGTTTGTGATAAGTAAAACCAGGGGTGAGGAAAAAACTCAAACCAAGAGCATCCCACTGATGTTTCTGTACTTTTCTGTTTTATAATTCTTTTTGTTGTAAGACGCGTTGGAGAGAGCATTTTTCCTTCCTGGGTGTTGGCGAAGTGGTTAAGTCACTTGCCTTTGGTGTGGGAAGATCAGTTGTTCACAGTTTGAATCCCTGTGCCAACTACTAAGCAGCCTCGATTACATAACGAATGAGAGACATAATAATAAAGCCTGCTGGCTCGGACGTCACCCGGATTAACAATGTCTGTGTCAGATGTTTGGGAACCAGGACATTCTGATGAGAAATGGACTACTGGAACAAAACGTGCATGGACAACAACAGAGAACTATTTCTACTATTTGGTGGCTGTGGATGAGTGGTTAGAGCAGTCGTCCTCCAATGCAAAAGTTGGGGGTTCAAATCCACCAGCAGTCACATGCCAAAGTGTCCCTGGGCAAGACACTGAGCACCCCCGTTGCATCCGATGTGCCCCATCGGTGTATAAATGTGATAAATCACTGATCAGTCTCTTTAGAATGATTTATTCAATTATTCTTTGTAAAGATTTAATAGAGTGCTGTATGGGCAAATGAGGACACGGATTGTAGTGTAAAGCACTTTGAGTATCTGGATAAGCTAGAAAGGTACAGTCCATTAAGTATTCAACCAAGAGTAGTGAACGGAGATATGTTGGAAAGATGTGAGAACTATGAATACTTCAATACCCATCATCCAGATTGACTCATAAACAACTTCGGACCCAGTGTTCTAACATACGAGAGATAAATCTGCTATCACACTTAGAGATTGACATGGTACAATAAAGATGCTATACCAGGACAACAGGTCAGGGGGATCAACCATCATCCACACCATTAGAGTATGCGTAACAAGCCCCATTGAAAAGCCCTGAAAAACTGAAAACAAGGACAGCTGACCTGAGAATGAAGATTGTGACCAAGCTAGACACATTTATCTTGCACCTCTTGCCAAGGCTAAGTGACAAAGTACTTTCTGAAAGTGCTAGAAGATGTGAATGCAGCATTGCTGAGTATTCCTACTGACATAATTACAGAAACCAATTAGTTGGTATACAAGTGCTGGGATGTCCCAAGATGGCGCCGGTGTGTAGGGCTGCCCGTCTCTCGCTCTCTGCTTGTATTTTATTTTTGTTATTTTTACAATGGTTTGTGCAGTGTGCCGAGTCATATTTTCAGTATGATCGTCGGGCACTTTTGGAGCTCCGTACTTTTGCTGAAATTCCCGCGGAGTTTTTGAACAGCGGTCAGCACTCTCCCCCACCGGTCCTATCTGAGATTCCTGCGTTCCTTCTGCGTGACCCTGGCCTTTCTCCATGGAGGAAACGTCGCAGACGTCGTGGGAAGCGTGCAGGGATTTTGGTGAAACTGAGGCAAAGTGTGGATTATTCTAACAGGACTCGCTCTGGATCTGATCATCTCCTCTCTGACCCGTGGTGCTCCCGGGGCCCGGCTGCTGGCCAGCTGCCCGCGCGCTCAGTCCATGGAAACACCTGGAGTTGTTTACCTGTGCGCCGCACCAGCAGACCTGGAGGAGCTGTTCTTCATAACCTGCGCCCGCTGGCGCGCGCGTCTCCATCCACGGCTGTGCCTGTGTTGGACAATATCAGGATGTGTTTAATCAACGCAAGGTCTGTTTCCAACAAGACGTTTATCCTCAATGACTTTTTTAAAGATGAGGAGTTGGATTTTCTGTTTGTCACAGAATCATGGATTTCTGATGGTGAGTCCAGCGCCTTGGTGGAACTACTTCCTCCGGACTGTGTATGTTTCAACGCCCCACGGCCATCAGGTCGGCGCGGGGGCGGATTATTAACAGTTTTTAAAGCAAACTTTGCGTGTAAACAGTTGTCCATCCCGGTGTCCCGCGCCAGCTTCGAGCTGAGCGCCTTTGAACTTGGACACTCTCCTCCGGTCCTGTGTGCGCTCATCTACCGCCTACCTCGTTCTAAGGACTTCATAAATGAATTCTCTGACTTTTTGGCTGATATCACACAGAGATACACTCACTTTTTGCTTATTGGTGACTTTAATTTGCATGTGTGTTGTCAGGAGAAGCCCTTAGTGAAGGACTTTCTGGATTTATTGGACTCTTTTGGCTTAGCTCAGCAGGTGAGCGGCCCCACCCAAGAACATGGTCACACGCTGGACCTCGTTTTAACACGCGATGTCTCTGTTTCTAATTTGAAAATTGGTGACAATGTTTTTTCAGATCACATGCCTGTATTGTTTGACTTCACCCCCCCTTGTCATACTGCTAAGACGCGCATTCCTGCACGTACGCGTTCCATTAACCGTTTCACTGCTGCTCGTTTTAATGAAGGTTTTAATTCTGAGAGGATCGAACAGCTCTCGGTGTCTCTTACCACTGAGGAGCTAACCTCTCAGTTCAACTCTGCCTGTTTAAATGTTCTGGACCGTGTTGCTCCCCTTAAGACCAGAAAAACAAAACTTAAATCAGAGCCTTGGCTGAATGACGTCACGCGAGCCGTTAGGCGGCAGTGTCGCAAAGCTGAATGAAAGTGGAGGAAGGACAGGCTCCAGGTGTCTTTTCAAATGTTAAGGGAGAGTTGGCGTCACTATCAGAAAACCGTTAAAGCTGCCAAATGTAAATTCTTTTCTGGTTTAATTGTCTCCAACTCCCACAACCCCCGAGTTCTTTTCTCCACCCTGAACTCAGTTCTACACCTCAGTGAGCCTTCACCTCTGGAAGCCTCAACTGAGCTGTGTGAAAACTTCCTCCATTTCTTTTTAGAAAAAGTGGCAAACACCCGGGCACTCATTTCTCCACCAGCTCATGATCTGTCCATCCCATCTCAGTGTGTGGCTGTGTTTGACCACTTTGAGCCCATCTCTCTGTCCTCTGGAGCAGGTAATGTGCAGCATGAAGCCATCTGGTTCCCCCTTTGATGTGGTCCCCCCTCGACTACTAAAGGAAGTTTTTCCTACCCTGGGTCCTTTTATCCTCGCTATTCTGAATAGCAGTTTATCCTCAGGTGTGGTGCCAAAGACTTTTAAACATGCTGCTGTCCAGCCCCTCCTGAAAAAACCTAACCTTGACCCCTCAGTCATGTCCAACTTCCGGCCTGTCTCCAGACTCCCATTCACCTCTAAACTACTGGAAAAAATTGTGGAGTCTCAGTTGAAACAGTTTTTGGGGGATCACGCTATCCTTGAGTTATTCCAATCTGGCTTCAAATCTCTCCATAGCACTGAAACTGCTCTACTGAAGGTTTTTAATGACATTTTCATATCCACAGACGCAGGTGATTCTGTGCTGCTTGTCCTATTGGACCTTACATCTGCTTTTGACACCATCGACCACAATATCCTCATTTCTAGACTGGAGCAGTGGGTGGGCATCACAGGGTCAGCCCTTAAATGGTTTGGGTCCTACCTCTCTGACAGAACCTTCTGTGTCAATATCAAAGATTTTAGTTCGGCATCGACCGCACTCCAGTGGGGGGTACCGCAGGGGTCCATCCTCGGTCCCCTTCTCTTTTCTTTATACCTGCTGCCACTAGGTGCTATCTTCCGCAAACACGACATACCCTTTCATTTCTATGCCGATGATTGCCAAATTTACTTCCCCCTGAGGCACAGAGGCACACGCTCTATTCAGCCTCTTCTTGACTGCCTGGCTGACATCCGGGACTGGATGGCTTTAAACTTCTTAAGCTTCAATGAGAAGAAGTCTGAAGTCATGCTGTTCCATCCCAGTGGCTCACTCATGAACCATGACATTGACCTTTTCTCTCTAGCCCCGCTAGAGAAACAAAAGGTCACTAATCTGGGGGTGATAATGGACCCGTCCTTAAAACTCAACAGTCACGTAAACATGATGGTCAAATCCTGTTTTTTTCAGCTGAGACGGCTGTCTAAGCTGAAGCCTATACTCTCCAAAAAGAACCTCGAGACAGTGATCCACGCCTTCATAACATCTAGGCTTGATTACTGCAATTCACTTCTGTTTGGAATCAGTCAGTCCTCCATTGCTCGTCTACAACTGGTCCAAAATGCTGCAGCCCGATTTTTAACTGGTACAGGCTATAGAGAGCACATCACGCCAGTTTTGGCCTCCCTGCACTGGCTACCCATTCACCTTCGGATCCATTTCAAAATTCTCATGTATGTTTTTAAATCACTGAACAGTTCCACCCCATCCTATCTCACTGATCTTCTGCAGCCATATGTCCCACCGCGCTCTGAGGTCAGCAGACCAGATGCTTCTCTCAGTCCCAGAAACCCGTCGTAAGCTCAGAGGTGACAGGGCTTTCTCTGTTGCAGGTCCACGATTGTGGAATGAGTTGCCACTGAGTGTCCGGCAGGCTCCCACACTCTCAGTCTTTAAGTCTCGCTTGAAGACCCACTTCTATTCGCTTGCCTTTAACACGGTGTGATTTGTTTTGGTCCGGTCTGTTCTCTACTCTGTTGGCCATTTTAGTTAGCTTCTGCTGCTATTTGTATCTGTATTTCTATTTTATGTTTCCCTGTCTGCTGTGCATGTTTGGTTCTTTTGTACAGCACTTTGGTTGGCCTTGTTGCTGTTTTAAGTGCTATATAAATAAATTGGTATGGTATGGTATGGAATCCTGTTGTTTGGATCCAATCCTGCTTCGTTTTTGGTCCTGTGCCTCGTTCCCTGCACTCTT